TGATTATGTGTGGTTTTAACCATTTTTATATTTCTTTCCCTTCAACAGGCAAAGTTCACCCAGAGTGACCCTCCAAATGGCGACGCAAGGATTGACATGGGAACAGTCCCTGCATTCTCAGGCCTTACTAAGGAGGAGTTGATGAAGTACAGCGATGACCCTTTCTGGGTGCGACTGCGCTGGGCCCTCTTCATCATCTTCTGGTTAGTATGACTTTCTTTCTTACATTGAAATGTGTATGGATTATCCAAGGTTATTGTTTATTGGATGATGTAATGGGAATTGTCATTTAGGTGAATCGTTTGGATATTGTTAAGTGGTCGCTAGCCAAAGGAAGGTAATGGAAGAATGATGTTAATATCTTATTCTCCTTTGTTATTTCAGGCTTGGTTGGGTGGCCATGCTTGTGGTTGCTATTGTAATTATCATTCAGGCTCCACGCTGCGCTCCTCAAGAGAAACTGGAATGGGTTCAGGAATCGGCAATACTTCAGTATGATGTGGTGAACGGTGTCGATGCTGACAGCTCTGGCGATGTGAATCCTAATGGTGGGTTTCCAAATTGTCTTCTGTCTGTCTGTCCCGGTTGATTCCTGTGCTGTGTTTTCAAATTTTCTTTTGTCTCTCTCAATGGAGTTTTCAAATTTTCCTTTGTCTGCCATTTCCAAGCGAGTGAGAGAATAATGAATGAATAGAGGAAGATTGTAATGAACAGAATCTCATGATTGAAATAATGGAAAACTTTTTTATTTTCTTGCAGATGTGGTTGAAATGGCAAAGGTACTTGGTATGACATCGGTGTATCTGGAAGATTTGATCAGTCCTCTGGACTTTGAGAAGGAGTCTGCCGCATACGATTCGGAAGAAATTAAGAATATTCTTGCTGTAAGTATTTTGCCGTTATGTTTGTGAAGACTTGTTTTATTCCATGTCCAGCTGTTTATTCCAGTAAAATTGGGAGGTCTGTAGGTACAATTGCTAGTATGCTAGTATTATAACTATTTTTTTTATTTTTTCTTTATTGATATAAACATGATTTTAAATTTTTCTTTCTTTTGTTTTATGGCAATTTCAGAGCCTTTTGAAGATGGTGTTTTGATCGCCTCCTTCTCCTTTCCCTTCTAGCACTTCCTCACTTCGTGATGAAAACGATTCTTACGTATTGTCTGATCTTAACAGGTTGCCAAGGAGAACAACCTGAATGTGATCACTGACTTCGTTCCGTCACAAGTCAGCGCTGACAACAGTTGGTTCAAGAATGACAGCTACAAGGACTTCTTCATACCAAACTCTGGTGGGGAGTTCAACTTCAGCAACCCAGACCTGATTTCAGCTTTAACGGTAAGTTGAAAAACAAAATGTCCGACTACTTTTCATCATCACATTGTTGTATCATTAAAGTAATTTATTAGCTGTTGTTTTTTTATTATTGGTAATGTGGGCCTCATTATTCTTATCATTGATATGAAAGGTATTATCACTTTATTTGTCATTTTTGTGAATAAGTTTAATATATATATATTTTGCTATTTACATTGTCTCTCATGCTATTATTGCAGCTAACCTTGACATCATTATTCACTTCATTATTCATCTTATTACAGGATGTCCTGAGGGATGTGTGGGTTAGCAAGGGCGTGAAAGCGTTCTTGATGGCCAATGCAGACACACAGGAACTTCGAGATGCTAGGGATACTATCAACGCTGCTCTCAAGGATGAGGTTGATGGGTATGTATGCAGAGAATACTCTTGTGTGGATGTTCTTAGAGTGACTATAAGAATACTTAAACATAGGGAAAACTAGTAGCAATTGCAAGAATATATGGGACGTAAGCTTACTGTGTTTCCTTTGCTTATTTCTTTAAGTGCAAGGATGTTCACAATAGACCAGTTGTTTCTTGATTATTATTATTAGACTTTTTTGAGAAATATTTTGTAAATATATAATGTAAATATTTTTTTGATTTATAAATTATGCAATTAGTTACAAGATAGAACTGTCAGAGAAGTAATTGAGTCTCCTGTGTAAGAAATTTTGTTGACATAATTATTTGATTTCCATAGGGCTGTTGTGAGCAACGTTACTGACATGAGCAATGAACTGGTGAGCGGCTTCAACGCGGAGATGTTCAAGGCATTCCTCGATGGACATGTTAGTGACTGGACGTACTATAAGGTAAGCTAAGGAATGGATAGAGAACCTTTATTTAAGCTGGTACAAATGCAGATATAATGCACCAATAGGAAATTGTTTTTCATATAAGATAATATTAGATTTTTAAAGTTTGGACTTTCCTTTTCAGTACAACCCCAAGGTAGCTGAAAGCAAGATCACTCCGGAGATGGTGCGTCTGGTCACAATGTCCCTCTTCTTGGTACCTGGAACCCCAATCTTGTCTGGAGTCGATAAAGATTACCTGGCATCTCAGAAGGAAGAAATCAAGCAGCTGTCAGATATTAGGATGAAGGAGTCTATTAAAATCGGAACCATGACATTTGTTAACAGCACAGAGGAAGATGTCGTGGCCTTTGCCAGGTGGGAAGCTTGAGATTTGGTTTTTATGAGTGAAGCATAACCTTTTACTAACAAGGTAGTATATTGTTTTGAGAGTGAAGTATGACAGTATAACTAGAAGGGGATATATTATTTTGAGCAAACTCAATAGCTAATCATTTAAAATATGATGTAAGGGAGGTGGTTTATCTGTGACAGTTATTCATTTTAATAATCTCTTCCCGCTAACAGGATTCCGTAAGTTTTTAAAGTGTACAGGGTTACATATGCAATGCCTATACATTTTTGCATGATAAGGTGTTGTGCTAGTAATGCTTGAGAATGCTTGGAGAGTCAAGTTTTGCTTTGGTATTGGACTTGGTGATTAAGAAAGATATGGCAATTACTTTATGCTGATGAGTTGTAACATACTGTAGAATGAAAAAAATGCTCATGCAAAAGACATGTTATGGAGAGTATGTGATAGCTTGTCCCTAATATTTTGATAACTTTCCCTTATTATAGCTGTTTCCTATATTGATACCTTTTTATGTTACTTTAATAACTTTTTTCCCTAATAAATAGATTAATGAAATGGAATTTAGTTTTGGATGCTGTAAATCTTCAGAACTGCTATTTAATTAGATTTGAGGGAGTTTTGGCCAATAGGCCAATAGAAGTTTGAAGTTTAGATACTGACAGTACAGTAATACTGTCGGTTTAACAGTGATTGTAGAAGTTAGCATGGCATGATAATTGATAAAGATGAGGACACCCCTGATCAAATTTGCATGAGGGGAAAAGAGCCTTGTTACCAGATTTGAGAAAATTTGGTGAAATGTATGATTCGGACTTGTACTAAGATGTAGGTTTGGCATAATAATATGAATTATCAATTGAAATGAAAGGGTTGATTTTGATTCTTTAAAACAAGAGAATGAATAAAGAATAAGGTAGTAGATCTATGAGAAAAACAATTTTGTCAAAATATAAACGGGAGTAAAATGTATATATTCAGTTGTCGTGGAAGTGAGTCTTATATCTGAAATTGAATGGCAATATATTAATATGTACTTAATTTGTTTTCTTCAGAGTATTGAAGGGTACTCCAGGCTATGCAGTAGCAGTTAACATGAACAGCGTTAACAATGCTACAATCGATTTCACAACTATAAAAGGTGTGGATGCGAGTGGAGACGTTAGCTTAGAGGCTAACTATCAAGAGGATCCTGCAGACAAGTGAGTGTTTTTACAGACTGGGTTTAGTGTTATTTTCCTTTCATTTAATATGAATTAACTTTTGTATGAATTGCCAAACAATTTGCAAAGGTGAAGAAAAAATGAAACTAAAACAACAAAATTGCTTTCTCTTCCAGATCGCCAAGGGGAAAACAAAGTTTGTCCAGTGTTCACCTTGGTCCTTATGAAGGCATTGTGGTACAGTTTGTGCCCAGCCTCTAAGTGTCCAAGAACAAGCAACTGAAAGCAAACAAGATGGCAATTCTTCTCCCTTGAGCTCGGGATCACATTCCCCTGCTGGCAACTCTTGAAGGCCACACATTCCTAAATAATATGGAGAATTGCTGGTAACTGCTGCTTGATGAATATGCACAAAGATTGCGTAAAAATTTTAATCTACTTAATATTTCCCATAAGGGGACGTATATGTAAAAAAAAAGATACCTAAAACCCAAAGGATAAGGCCATTAGTTGCCACGAGATAAAATAATTCAAAAACAACATTTGTTTTTATAAGCAAATCCTTTTGTTGAAAAAAAATAATAAGTGAAATTTTACTATCAAACGTTATATGGAAATACAAAAGCTTTTCATCAATCCTGCTTATAATAGACAAAATCTGTTTCACTTTCGATGCTGTTACTTAAAAGAAAACAGAACACTATGTTGTTAGTCATACCTTGGAAAAAAGTATAAAACCTTTATGATATTATTCCACAAAGTAAACCTAGTATTTCCATTAAAAGGGAAATGCTTACTGTGTTGTAGGTTTCTAAAGCCCATTAATTTGGAAAAAAAAATATCTAAGTATCAGTCAAAAGTGAATTAGATTTGTGCCACAAATTGAGCTGTTATGTATACATACTGGATTGTTATGTGAGCATAGAAACTGGATTGAAACAATAATAAGAAATATTGTGATGTAGAGGTTTGATGTCTTACAGGTTAACGTAAATTGAAACCATTGCCATCATGTACTGAAATGACTAAAGAAATTTATTTAGTTTAATGAGAAGTAGCTGTGGGAATAAAGTAATGATTTATGAGGTAATGTTGAAAAGGAAATAGTTGAGTTTTCTAGTGAATGTCGGATATCAATCGATCGTGCAATTAATCAAAAGTGCCTTAAACTATACTAAATGTAAAAGAAAATATATACTAAGTTTTTAATAATCTGTGGTAAGCTGCTATATCTTGAACACTGTTTATTATGTCTATTGTTCAACAGAATTATTTTTATGGGAAGGTTTATTTTCTAAACACCGGAAACGCTGTTATATTTAATTACACAATAATACACTTTGCTTTTAGAATTATTTTTTTTAAAAACATGATTATTCTTCTTCTATCAGGTTCAGTAATAAACCTTCACCTGGAACAAGAATCAGTTCACTCAGCTTCACGACAGACCTGTGGAAAAGAAGTAATTATACTTAGAAAGAAGAGAAATTGCAAACATTTAAGCGTGGTTGTTCATGCTCGTTAAAGAAATCTAGAGGAAAAATTAAAATGACAATTACGATAAAGATGTTAATAACTAAGGATAATAATATGGCGATAGTAATGGCAATGATGATAATGGTGAGAATAGTAATGGTAATAATATTGATAATGATAGTAATGATAACTAAGGGTTATAATGAAGATAATGATATACTGATAATGAAAACGATAATAAAGACAGCAATTAAAAAAGTATTAATAATACTGACACTGATACTGATAATAATGAAGATTATGATAATGGTAATGATGATATTAATGACAATGATGATACGAATTGTAATAATGATTAAACAGCAACAACAGTGATAATTGTAATGGCAACTAGAAACGTATTATCCGGCAAGATATAAGGTAACTGATGCAATCCGAATATTCACGAAGAATTACACTGAAAATAAATTAATAATAATAATAATAATAATGATAATAATAATAATAATAATAATAATAATAATAATAATAATAATAATGATAATGATAATGATAATGACTAATAATAATGTTACCAATACTGTTAATAATGCCCATAAAAATAATAATAATTATGTTAATGATATAATAATAAATAATAATAATAATAATGATGATGATGATGAAATATTATTAAAATAATATAACAACAATAATAATACTAGGTAAAGCGCCCAAAAGTTTCAGCTATCCATATTGCAATGCTTTAAACATTAATTGGATTCGGATCATATGATTCGCTTCACCGAAATTTTATGTCAATCCAATTTTTTATTTTATTTTTTTTTTATCTAGCTTCAGTAAAGAGACAGAGAAAGAGAAAGAAAAGAGAAGAACATGAAAAAGAAAAGTAAAGTAAAAAGAAAGGATTGAACAAAATTATAACAATAATTTTATGGCATTCTCGTTGGGCGAAGACACTCTTCTGATAAAAAAAAATAACTTTTTGAGCTATCCTGCTAACAAACCAACTAACCAGCATTAACAAAACATTACCTCTTTATCGGAGGGTAATAATGATAATAACAATAATAATAATAATAATAATAATAATAGTAACATTAATAACAATAATAATGATGATAATGATAATGAGAATAACAACATGATAATAATAATGATGGTCATAGTAATAACAATAACAATAATTACTGCTATAATAATAACAACAATAATTACACTAGTAATAATGGTAAAAATGATGATAATAGTTATAATAATAGTAAAGATACTAATGATGATAATAATTTTATAATAATAATAATAATAATAATAATAATAATAATAATAATAATAATAATAATAACAGCAACAATAACAATAACAATAATAATAAATAATAAATAATATAATAATAATAATAATAAAATAATAATAATAATAATGATAATAATAATGATAATATAATAATAATAATAATAATAATAATATATAATAATATAATAATAATAATAATAATAATAATAATAATAATAATAATAATAATAATGATAATAATAATAAATAATAATAACAATAATAATAATAGTCATCATCATTGCTATTACTATAATCTTAATGATGATAACAATAGTAATAACAACAATATTAACAATAGTATTATTAATCTCGCTACTACTGATAATGATAATAATAATGATGATGATGATAATAATAATTAATAATAACAAGAATAACACTAATGAAGATGATAACATTAATGATAATAATATTAATAATACTAATAATAACGATGATGGTTATAATAATAATAATAATAATAATAATAATAATAATAATAATAATAATAATGATAATTAATAATAATAATATAATAATAATAATAATAATAATAATAATAATAATAATAATAATAATAATAATAATAATAATAATAATAATAATAATAATAATGATGATGATAATAATAATGATAATGACAATAACAACATCAACAACAATAATAATAATAATAATAATAATAATAATAATAATAATAATAAATAATAATAATAATGATAATAATAATCATAACAATAATAATGACAATAACAATGACATCAACAATAACAATAATAATAATAATATTTAATGATAATAATAACAATAATAATAAATAACAATAATAACATAACAACAATAATAACAATAGAACAAACAACAACACAATAATGATAACAATAATCAATAACAACAGCAGATAACAATAATAATGACAGATAACACAAACACGAAAAACCAAAACCAAAACAATAACAACAACAAAATAATAATAATAATGATAATAAAAATTCATAACAACAACAGCAACAATAATAACGACAGATAACAAGCAACACGAAAAACAAAAAATAAAAACAATAACAACAACAACAACAATAATAATGATAACAATAATCCATAACAACAACAGCAACAATAATAACGACAGATAACAAGCAACACGAAAACCAAAAACCAAAAACAATAACAACAACAACAACAATAATAATAATGATAACAATAATTCATAACAACAACAGCAACAATAATAACGACAGATAACAAGCAACACGAAAAACAAAAAACAAAAACAATAACAACAACAACAATAATAATAATGATAACAATAATCCATAACAACAACAGCAACAATAATAACGACAGATAACAAGCAACACGAAAACCAAAAACCAAAAATAACAACAACAACAACAACAATAATAATAATGATAACAATAATTCATAACAACAACAGCAACAATAATAACGACAGATAACAAGCAACACGAAAACCAAAAACCAAAAACAATAACAACAACAACAATAATAATGATAACAATAATTCATAACAACAACAGCAACAATAATAACGACAGATAACAAGCAACACGAAAAAAAAAAAAAACAATAACAACAACAACAATAATAATGATAACAATAATTCATAACAACAACAGCAACAATAATAACGACAGATAACAAGCAACACGAAAAACAAAAACCAAAAACAACAACAACAATAATAATAATGATAACAATAATTCATAACAACAACAGCAACAATAATAACGACCCATAACAAGCAACACGAAAAACAAAAAAACAAAAAACAGCGCCTTTATAACCATCCTCCCTCTTAACAGCGACGAGAACCAACGCACAAGTTTTTTTCAGCGGCTCTTACCCTGGCACTGTGGAGTTCGACGTGTCAGTGACAGAGCGGAGGATGACCACGGCACTCGGCGGGAGCTCTACGTTCGAGTGGTGGTGAAGGTCGACCTCCACTTCGCCCTCAGAGGTGTTGATCACGAGCAGGTAGCTCTCATAGCCTTCGAGATACCTTGAGGTGGAGGGGGGAGGGGGGAGGTAGTGGGTGTGATTAGGTTTGCTTAGAATTAACGTAGTTTTTCTCTGATTTAAAAAAAATCTAGTTTCAGTAAAGAGACAGAGAAAGAGAAAGAAAAAAGAACTTAAAAAAAGAAAAAAGAGAAAGAAGAGTAAAGTAAAAAGAAAGGATAAAAAAATATATATATGCATGCTTATTATCAATGGTCCATTTTCTTCTGCTGATTATCTGTTTCTAAAAAAAAAGATATATGAACCGTATTCATGTTGACAAATGTAGAAAAGGTAGGAATGAGAACGAACATTTTCACAATACAAGAGATGTATTTAACCGGTTAGGTTAGGTCAAATAATCTCTTGTATTGTGAAGATATTCATTCTCCTTCATACCTTTTCTACAAGATATATATCAGATAATACTAAATATTCTTTTCATTATCACGTGACTGTAAAAATACAACATGCCAACCTGAACAAAGTACAACCCTCTGAAGTGAATCCTGACATTACCTCATCACAGAAAAGATTTCGAAGGTGACCACAGGGTAGGCTACATGCCCTCGCACAAACGGTTCCTCTTTTCGTAAAGCTGCAAGTTCTTTGTATATCTTCAAGTGGCTCTCCTCTGCCTGGAGTTGTGCCTTGACATTGACCTCCTTGTAGTTCTCGTTCACCGGCAGCCAAGTGCTGTTGCCTTTGGTAAAACCTGGAAATTTCGAGAAAACGCCTTGTAGGTCAGCCTTTCCCGAGCTGAGGGTCACCAGGCTTTCATCCTGGGGTCGCCAAGATCGTAAAATATCAAACGTGGTCAAGTTCTCAATTTTGAGATGTTTTCAGCATATAGGGAATCACGTATTGGTTGAGGGCTACTGGCTAAATTTTGTTTGATTATTACACAATTTAGAATGCAATCGAAAATAACACACTGAATTCTGACGAAATTCGAACTAAAGAAAATATAATCGTAATTGTTTTGATTTTTGTTTGGAATTCTGTATATATTCATCGAAAATCGTAGACACGATAGTATAATATAATATAATAATATAATATAAGCTTTAACAATGCAGAACAGACTGGAGTCGGGGCCATGTCTAGAATTGGGGTCGCCTGAAAAAAGAAAGAAAAAAGAAAAAAAATGGGAACCACTGTAAAAAGGTTTCTATGTTCTGTTCTGTTTTCTGTCTGCTTCCCTGCCTGTCTGATTGTCTTTTTTTCTCTTCCTCCTTCTCTCTCTTTTCCCCTCCGATTATTATATATTATGTGCCGCCCAAAACTCGTACAAAGCACCGAATAACAAACGACAGTTCGAGAGAGAGAGAGAGAGAGAGAGAGAGAGAGAGAGAGAGAGAGAGAGAGAGAGAGAGAGAGAGAGAGAGAGAGAGAGAGAGAGAGAGAGAGACAGACAGACAGACAGACAGATAAATAGATAGACAGAAGAGAGAGCGATAAAAGTAGAGAGAGAGAGACGGACACAGACAGAGAAATAGACAAACAGAGACAGAGAGAGAGAGGGACCGATAGAAGTAGTGAGAGGGAGGGAGACACAAGGACCCCCCAAAAACAAGTACTCCTGAAAAAACCTGCAAAGGAGGTGTTGTCCCACTGCATAGGCGTCCTCTCGGGATCTCGGCTGAACTCCTGGTAGTGTTCAGGACCGTAGCGGCATCCTTGGGGGTCCTGCGTGTCCTCCCACGATATAAATGTGTTCACCATACCTGGGGGAAGGAAAGGGGCGTTGTAGTGAGACGCTGAGGGACTTCATAGGAGGATGCAGAAGGATATGGTAGTGGGGGTTGAAAAAGGATGTTATCGTGAAACTGATTTGGATATTAATGTAGGATGCAAGAAGGATTTGATAGTAGGATGCAAATGGATATCATCATGAGACTGAAAAGGATATCATGGCGAGTCTGAAGAGGATACCGTCGCAGGATGTAAAGGGATATCGTAGTTAGATGGATAGAAGGATGGAAAAAGGATCTGATAATGGTATGGAAACAGGATGGTAATTATAAACATCTAAAGGAATTTCATTTGAAGCTAAACTTTCCAAATGTTTCAAAATGAGGGATATCATTAAATAATTTGAATCACAATATAACCAAAATGAAGTATCGTAGATGTTATTAAAGATTTGTTTTTATTTCTATTTCATGATTTTGTTGTTTAAATAAAAGAAGGGCATATCATATAATTTTCATCAGTATACTTTAATCACACTAGTAATATCCTAAAACTGATTGTATTTATTATTTGTTATCATCATTACATCATGACCCAGCCCACACGATCTCCTCTCCATGATATGTGAAAAATGTGTTGTCTTTTGTTCTCCTTCGCTCTCCTTTCATTCCCCTTTTTCTCTCCCTACCTTCTCGTCCTTCCTCTCTCCCTCTCGTCTCCTCTTGCACTCCTTCCTTTTCTCCCTCCCTCTCTGATTTCTCATTCTCTCTTATTTCTCCTTCCCCCTCTCTCCCTCATCCTTTCCTCCTTCCTCCTCACCCTCCATCCCATCCTCGCCCACCCTTCTCCCCTCTCCCTACCCCCTATCCCTTTCCCCTCCCCACCCACCCCTCTCTCCCTACCCCAAACCCCTAAACCTTTCACCCTCTCTTCTCCTCCTTTTCCTTCCCACCCCCTCCTACCCCTCCTTCTCATCCTCTCCCCCTCTCCTTCATCTTTCCTCGCCAATCTCATTCCCTAAACCCTTCCCCCCCCTCCTTCCCCTCCCCCTTCCTCCCCTCCTTCCCCTCTCTCTCATCTCCAACTTTTCCTCACCGATCTCTTCCCCTTCCCTTCTCCCCCTTCTCCCTCCTCCTCCCCTCTCTCTCTCTCCAACTTTTCCTCTCCACTTCCCTTCCCTTCTCCCCCTCTCCATCCTTCCCCTCTCTCTATTCCATCTTTTCCTCACCAATCTCTTCCCCTTCCCTTCCTCCTTCCTTCCCTTTCCCCTCCTCTCTCTCATCTCCAACCCTCACCTCTCTTCCCCTTCCCTTCTCCCTCCTTCCCCATCTCCTCCAACTTTTCTCACAATCTCTTCCCTTCCCTTCTCCCTTCTCCCTTCTCTTCATCCCTTTCACCCCTCCCCTCCTCCTCTCTCTCTCATCTCCAACTTTTCCTCACCGATCTCTTTCCCCTTCCCTCCTCTTCTCCCTCTCCTCCCCTCTCTCTCGTCTCTTTCATCTCATCTTTTCCTCACCAATCTCTTTCCCCTTCCCCTCCCTCCCTCCCTCCTCCTCCCCTCTCTCTCATCTCCAATCTCTCCCCTTCCCTTACTCCTCTTACCCTCCTACTCCTCCTCCCCCTCTCTCTCATCTCCAAACTCTCCTCACGATCTCTTCTCCTTCCCTTCTCCCTCCTTTCCCTACTCCTCCTACCCTCCTTCCCCTCCTCCTCCATCTTCCTCTCTCTTCCCCTTCCCTTCTCCCTCCCTCCCTCCTCCCCCTCTCCCTCATCTCCAACTCTTCCTCACCGATCTCTTCTCCCTCCTTCCCTCTACTCCTTCCTTCCCCTCCTACTCCTCCTCCTTCCCCTCCTACTCCTCCTCCCCCTCTCTCTCATCTCCAATCTCTTCCCCTTCCCTTCTTCCTTCCTACTCCTCCTCCCTCCTACTCCTTCCCTCTCCCTCTCTCACCTAACTCCTTCCCCTCCTCCTCCATTTTCCTCATCAACCTCTTCCTTCTCTTCTCCCTCCCTCCTCCTCCCCCTCCCTCATCTCCAAACTCTTTCCTTCCCTTCTCCCTCCTTCCCCTCCTCCTCCATTTTTTCCTCATCCCTCTTCTTCTTCCTTCCTCCCCCTCTCCCCATCTCCAACTCTTCCCTCTCCAATCTCTTTCCCCTTCCCTCTCCCTCCTTCCCCTCTCTCCTCCTCCCTCTCCCCCCTCTCTCATCTCCAACTCTTCCTCACCGATCTCTTCTCCGTTGTAGGTGACGGGCGTGCCTGGCAACAGCAGCACCAGCATGTTGAGGGCGTCCACAGCATCGGTGCCGAAACGAGAAGCAACCCGCCCGTAGTCGTGGTTGCGAGCTGTTGGAGTGGGTGGGGGGGAGGTGGGGGAGGTGAGGAAGGGGGAGGTGAGGAGGTGGGGGGAGGGGGAGGTGAGGAGGAAGGGAGGGAGGGGGAGGTGGGAGGAAGGGGGAGGTGGAGAGAGGGAGGTGGAGGAGGTGGGAAGGAAGGAGTGGGGAGGAGGAGGGTGGAGGTGGGAGGAGGTGGAGGAAGGGGAAGGGGGAGGTGGAAGGAGGTGAGGAGGAAGGGGGAGGGAGGGGGGGAGGTGAGGAGGTGGAGGAGGGAGGGAGGAAGGGGGAGGTGAAGGAGGAAGGGGGAGGTGGGGGAGTGAGGAGGTGGGGGAGGAGGAAGGAGGTGGAAGGGGGAGGTGGGGGAGGGAGGGAGAGGTGGGGGAAGGGGAGGAGGGGAGGTGGGAGGAGAGTGGGGAGGTAAGGAGGAAGGGGGGAAGGGGAGGTGGGGAGGAAGGGGGAGGGCAGGTGAGGAAGGAGGAAGAGGGGTGGAGGAAAGAGTGCGGGAGGGAAGAGGAAAGAGGGAGGAGGAAAGAGGGGAGGAGGAGGGAAGGAGGAAGAGAGGAGGAAGAGAGGTGGGAGGAGAGGAGTGAAGCAGGAGGTGGGAAGAGGAAGAGTAGGAGGTGGGAGGAGGAAGAGTGGGGAGGAAGAAGAGTGGAGAGGGAAGGAGGAAGCGGGAGGTGGGAGGGAGGAAGAGTGGGGAGGAGGAGGTAAGAAAGATGAGAGAGGAGGTAGATGGGTGTGGGAGATGGGGAGGAAGGAGGAGGAAAAGGAAGGCGGGGGTGGGAGGAGGTTGGAAAGTCAATCATAAAAATTCCTGAAGTTCGAAGTCTATAAAAAAAATCTCAAGGCAAAGTGCATCATTAACAATATCAAAAGAAAAAAATACCGAAGCAAAATGAATTATCAACGTATCATTATCTTTATAAGTATTCACAGAACAATCTAGATGGTATATTTTCCATTGTAAACTTGTTCATCCATTTAGTAAATTCATCATCCACATCATCATTCATCATTCCCTTTCTTAAATTCATCATCAAACCACTTGAGTTCAGCCACTTAACGTCACCATCCACTTAAATAAACTCACCATCCACTTTAACAACCTCTACATCCAACCATCCACTTAGCAAGCTCATCATCCACTTTAACAAACTCGTCATCCACTTAACAACCCCACCATCCCATCATCCACTTAACAACCTCGTCATCCATCATCCCACCATTCAGTGTAACCTCAACATCCACTTTAACAGCTTCATCATCCTACCATCCACTTTGACACCCTCACTAACCATTTAACAATCTCACCATCCACTTAGACAACCCCATCATCCACTTTAACAGCTTCACCATCCTACCATCCACTTTGGCAACCTCACTAACCACTTAACAACCTCACCATCCACTTTGACAACACTAACCACTTAACAACCTCACTAACCATTTAACAACCTCACTATCCACTTTGGCAACCTCACTAACCACTTAGCATCATCCACTTTAGCAAACCCACTAACCACTTAACAACCTCACCATCCACCATCCACTTCAGCCAACCCATCATCCACTTTTAACGAACTCACCCTCCACTTTAACAACCTCCCAGACCACTTAACAACCTCACCAGCCACTTAAAAACTCATCATCCACTTTTAACGAACTCACCCTCCACTTTAGCAACCTCCCTAACCACTTAACAACCTCACCATCCACCCTCCATCCAACCCCTCATCCACTTTTAACGAACTCACCCTCCACTTAAACAACCTCACCATCCACCATCCACTTCAGCCAACCCATCATCCACTTTTAACGAACTCACCCTCCACTTACCACCCAATTCGGCCACTTTCCCTCCGGCATGTTATCCATCCACAAGTCAATGGTATCCTTGAGAGCGAATCCGGTGAGGTCGCTCCGGTTACGTAAATGTTCGATCAGCAGGAAATTGAACGGAAAATCGGCCAAGGGAACGCTGTCGTTTCCATAATACTTCATCACTTCTTCGATTTCTTCGCCGAAGACTTCGATAATCATGGCCCTGTGGAGAGGAGGAGGAGGAGGAGATGGAGCGGGTTGGTCTTGTGGTGGAAAATGGGGTTGGTGATTTTTCGTTTGTTTATTTATCTGTTTTTTATAACGGTTTTGTTGTTTATTATTGGTTGGTTGATTGATTTTTTCCTCATTGTTATTGTTATTATCATCTGTTTTTACTATTATTGTTGTTGCTATTATCATTATTCTTATCATTAATAATGATCACACACACACACCAATACATCACAGAGAAATTTCTCTCTCATTTTCTTTCTTGCCTTTCCTCTCTTTTTATTTATCTATTAGTGCAGTGTAGCAGTGAGTGTGTGTATTCGTGCGTGCGTGTGTGCGTTTGCGCGCGCATGTGCGTTGTATGTCTTTAAGTATCTACGAAGCTATCCATCTTTCCCTCCATCCATGTTTATTAATCTCTCTCTCAATGAAGAAGAAGAAGAAGAAGAAGAAAAAAAACCTCAGAACTCACTTATCCGGGTACTGATCCAAGACGTCCCTCCACTCCTTGACGACGGTGAATGTCTCCGGCTGGTTGAGTGTGAGGGTGTGGTTGAGGTAGCCGTAGTCCAGCGGGTCGTCGGTGCCGGAGTGAGAGGCTACGGGCTCATCTTGACTCAGGTCTGGTTCGAAAAAAGAAAAGAAAAAAAAAATATATATATTTAAATCTATATAAGTACATACACACAGACATACATATACATATATATACATGCACTTACATATACATACATATATATATATATATATATATATATATATATATATATATGTATATTTCAGCACAAAATTTAATGGAAGTGCTGGGGAGAGGGGATCTGCCCCTTCCACCCAGCAAGTGAGGCTGGCTGTGGGTCCCGAGGGAAGGGGGCTGCTGAGGCTCAGGTTGGGAACGTGTTACCTGTCCCGCCTGCGCTCTGGCAGCCGCCACCCCAATGTGAGGCCTGTGGGGCAAAGCCCTCGGGAATTCCACAGGCAGATGATGGGCCCCACAGCCTGCCACCCCCTTTTATATGGGGCAACATCGGCGGGGGAAGCAGAGGTGGCGTCTGCCTGGAGCAACTGCCTGAGATTTAACCTCAGGTGGTCTGTTTGGGTGGGAGCTTGGAATTACCAGTCTGTACAGCAGGATGCCCTGAGAAAACTGAACTCAAATCCCTCTTCGCATATATCTGCAGTCACTCAGTGGATGGATGTATCATCTTAGATCATGTTGAGGTTCGTGAATGTTGGGCTGAGCATTTTGAGTAATTGTATTAGGTAGACCCCCCAGCAGTTTGTTTAGATGCAAAGGATGTAGCCCTGCCTGACCCACCCATCAGTGAAGATCCCCCTATCCTGACTGAGATTAGGGAGATCTCTAAGCTGATGGGCGGGAAAGCTGCAGGTATATGCGATATCCCTGGTGAACTGCTAAAGACCGGGGAGAGCCTATGGCTTGGGGCTTGCATGCTGTCCTGGCTGCCATCTGACATTCCAGTTCCATCCCCCCTGACCTGCTGAGGGGCGTGGTCATCCCTCTCTGGAAGTGGAAAGGAGATCGTTCGGACTGTGGGCACCGTACCGTGGCATCACATTGCTCAGTATACGAGGCAAGGTTTTCGGCCACATTCTGAAATGGATCCGCAACCACCTGCTAAGGCAACAAGGACCGGAGCAATTTGAATTCATTCCATGCAAGTTCACAATAGACTGTATCCTTGTAGAACGTCGTCGTGAGTTCGGTCGTGGGATGCTCGCAGCCTACGTCGACCTCAAGAAAACGTTTGATTCGGTACATCACGAATCGTTGTGGGAGATCCTGAGGCTTAGAGGAATTCCAACACAGATTATTGGATCCCATAGCAAGCCTATATACTAGTACTGAAAGTGCTGTAAAGTGTTGTGGGGGCCTGTCGAGCTTCTTCCCTGTTAACTCAGGATTGAGGCAAGGCTGTGTCCTTGCGCTAACACCTCAACACTTGCATGGATTGGATAATGGGCAAAGCTACTTTCCAAAGTCAGTGTGGAACACTGGGCAACATTTATATGAGTCTTTGGAATCTCTGGTAGTAGCTCTTGATGCATTTGGCAATGAGGCGAAGCCCCTGGGCTTGCAGGTCTCCTGGACTAAGACCAAGATCCAGGAATTTGGGAGCCTGCTAGGAGATCCTGTTTAGTCAATACGTGCTTGCGGCAAGGACGTTGAAGTCACAGAGAGCTTTACATACCTTGGCAGTGCAGTTCATGTTTCTGGGCTGTCAGACCAGGAAGTCAGACGGAATGGTCTGGCAGCAGGAACCATGAACTCAGTCAACAAGAGTATTTGGAGGTGCCGGTACCTGTGCAGGACTAAATTGCGTGTATTTAAAGCCTTGATACTTCCAGTTTTGCTTTATATAAAGGAAGCGAAACCTGGACGCTATCTAGTGCCTTGGAGTCACGTCTTGATGCCTTTTGTAACAAGTCTCTACGCCAGATCATGCGGTACAGTTAGCAGGACCATGTGTCGACCCGACGATCATAATAATGTTTGGGATTCTGAGCTTGCGGGAGAGAAATAGAACGTGTTTGTTTATAATTTCCGTGTTTACGTTGGTAACAGATTGTGAATATTAGATTGGAAATAAATTACCTTTGCTTACAATTCTCGATTCCAAGTTGGTAATACACTGTGAACCTAAATGGGAAAAATATATTGTTTTTGTTCATAAATACTGATGCTAAGATAGTGAATAGATTCTGAACTCATAGGAGATAACTATATTATCTTACAAATACAAAGAATAACATAGTACAACAAAAAGCCAAAACGTTCTCTAGCAAACACGAAGAACAACCTACACAAAAAAAGACAAGAAAAATGACGAAAATACACACACAAAATAGTAATAATAATAAATGAATAGGAAAAGCAACAACGGGTTACCTTGAACTTCGAACAGGTGTGTTATAGCGTCCACCCGAAAACCGTCCACGCCCTTGTCGAGCCAAAACCGTAGCACGTTCTGAAATTTCCGTATCAATGTTGAACGAAATTCATAGGTGTTTAACTTTGCAAATATAACAAAACTTCTTAAAGTGGAATTACAGCTTGTTGATAATATCTTTATTGTGATTCTCTTTGTTTGCTTCTGTTTATCATCGTCATTATCATATAAATAATAATTATCATTAGGTATCACTACTACTACTGCTTCTTCTTTTACTAGTACTACTACTCTTTTACTTACTATATTACTTCTACTACCACTACTACTTCTACTATTACCCTACTACAACAATTACTACTACTTCTACTACTTCTAGTACTACTACAACTACTACCACTTCTACTATTACTACAACTACTAATGATACTTCTACTACTACTACTACCAATACTATTACTACTATTACTACCACTACTACTATACTACTACTACCACTACACTACTATCACTACTACTATCACCTCTATCCACATAACCATCACTATCATCACCCCCCATTCTTTCTATACACTACCACTACACTACTATCACCACTACTATCACCTCTATCCACATAACCATCACTATCATCACCCGTATCCTCTCTTTCTACAATTAACGGGTTCCAGAAATACTCTCAACTTATTATTACCTTCATTTCCTCTCTCACTCGCTCGTTTCGGTAGTTCAGGTCGGGTTGTTTGGCCAAAAACTGGTGGTAATAGAACTGCTGCCTTTCTTCCACCCAAGTCCACGCCGACCCTCGGAAGACACTCAGCTGGAAGGCAAGTAGATGGGGTGTTTATGTGTATTCTAAAAAGGGGGAGGAGGATGAAAAGGGTGGATGTAGGTGTTTGTTTGTATTCTAAAAAGGGGGAGGAGGATGAAAAGGGTGGGTGTAGGTGTTTATATTCTAAAAAGGGGAAGAGGAGGATGAAAAGGGTGGGTGTAGGTGTTTGTTTGTATTCTAAAGAGGGGGAGGAGGATGAAAAGGGTGGGTGTAGGTGTTTGTATTCCATAAAGGGGCAAGGGGGTGAATAGGGTGGGTGTAGGTGTTTGTTTGTATTCCAAAAAGGGGGAGGAGGATGAAAAGGGGGGTGTATGTTTGTTTGTATTCTAAAAAGGGAAGAGAAGGATGAAAAAGGTGGGTGTAGGTGTTTGTTTGTATTCCAAAAAGGGAGAGAAGGATGAAAAGGGTGGGTGTAGGTGTTTGTTTGTATTCTAAAAGGGAAGAGAAGGATGAAAAGGTTGGGTGTAGGTGTTTGTTTGTATTAAAAAAAGGGGGATTAGGATGAAAAGGGTGGGTGTAGGTGTTTGTCTGTATTCCAAAAGGGAAGAGGATGATGAAAAGGGTGGGTGTAGGTGTTTGTTTGTATTCCAAAAATGGAATAGAAGGATGAAAAGGGTGGGTGTAGGTGTTTGTTTGTATTCCAAAAGGGAAGAGAAGGATGAAAAGGGTGGGTGTAGGTATTTGTTTGTATTCCAAAAATGGAATAGAAGGATGAAAAAGGGTGGTGTAGGTGTTTGTTTGTATTCCAAAAGGGAAGAGAAGGATGAAAAGGGTGGGTGTAGGTGTTTGTTGTATTCCAAAAGGAAAAGAAGGATGAAAAGGGTGGGTGTAGGTGTTTGTTTGTATTCAAAAGGGGGGAGGAGGATGAAAAGGGTGGGTGTAGGTGTTTTGTTTTGTATTCCAAAAGGGAAGAGAAGGATGAAAAGGGTGGGTGTAGGTGTTTGTTTGTTTTAAAAAAAAAGAGAAGGATGAAAAGGGTGGGTGTAGGTGTTTGTTTGTATTCCGAAAGAGAAGGATGAAAAGGGGGGTGTAGGTGTTTTGTTTGTATTCCAAAAGGAAAGAGAAGGATGAAAAAGGGTGGGTGTAGGTGTTTGTTTGTATTCCAAAAGGGAAGAGAAGGATGAAAAAGGGTGGGTGTAGGTGTTTGTTTGTATCCAAAAGGGAAGAGAAGGATGAAAAGGGTGGGTGTAGGTTTTGTTTGTATTCAAAGGAAGAGAAGGATGAAAAGGGTGGGTGTAGGTGTTTGTTTGTATTCCAAAAGGGAAGAGAAGATGAAAAGGATGGGTGTAGGTGTTTGTTTGTATTCTAAAAAGGGGGAAAGGATGAAAAGGGTGGTGTAGGTGTTTGTTTGTATTCCAAAAAGGGAGAGAAGGATGAAAAGGGTGGGTGTAGGTGTTGTTTTGTATTCCAAAAAAGGAAGAGAAGGATGAAAAGGGTGGGTGTAGGTGTTTGTTTTATTCAAAAGGGAAGAGAAGGATGAAAAGGGTGGGTGTAGGTGTTTGTTTGTATTCCAAAAGGGAAGAGAAGGATGAAAAGGGTGAGTGTAGGTGTTTGTTTGTATTCCAAAAGGGAAGAGGAGGAAAAAGGGTGGGTGTAGGTGTTTTGTTGTATTCCAAAAGGGAAGAGAAGGATGAAAAGGGTGGGTGTAGGTTTGTATTCTAAAGAGGGGAGGAGGATGAAAAGGGTGGGTGTAGGTGTTTGTTTGTATTCTAAAAGGGGGAGAAGGATGAAAAAGGTGGGTGTAGGTGTTTGTTTGTATTCCAAAAAGGGGGAGAAGGATGAAAAGGGTGGGTGTAGGTGTTTGTTTGTATTCCAAAAGGGAAGAGAAGGATGAAAAGGGTGGGTGTAGGTGTTTGTTTGTATTCTAAAGAGGGGGAAGAGGATGAAAAGGGTGGGTGTAGTGTTTGTTTGTATTCTAAAGAGGGGGGATATGAAAAGGGGTGGTGTAGTGTTTGTTTGTATTCCAAATAGAAAGAGAAGGACGAAAGGGTGGGTGTAGGTGTTTGTTTTGTAATTCCAAAAGGGGGGGGGGGGGAAAGGGATGAAAAGATGGGT